AATAACTTTTTCATTAACGTTACAAGGGACATACCAGTCAACAATAACTCACTCGATTTTTATAAGAACAATGAGAAACACGATATTGGGAACGAATTTACATTTCAGATAGTGAATGGAGAAAATATAATTGATATAATAAACAACATTAGTAGTGAAGCCTTCAGAAATTATGAACTCAATATTACTATTATAGGGTTATGTTGTCCCCTAATTGGTCCAATCAATGTCCACATTATTAATGTGTGTTTGTTAATTGGATATTTTCCACCTGATGGAAATTTTCTAAGGTGATTCCACTGCCTAGAGAAAGTTGTCCCAAAGAGTATAGTGATCAGAGGCAAATTATTAGTAACTTACCGGTTCTTTCGAAAGTTTTTAAGCGAGTAATCGAATCTCAGCTTAGAGACTTCGTTGATAATAATAATATTTCATCTCACAAGCAAACCGGTTTCAGAAAGGGTTGTGCACTTGTAGAAGTCGTTGACAATTTATTAAAAACTATTAACGATGGAACAATATCCGTACTGGTATCGTGAGATTTTTCTAAAGCCTCCGATATGTTGAATCATGATATTCTAGCAGCAATGTTCAAATATTTCCTTCAGTGAAACAGCATGCTCTCGTCTCTCGTTATATCTGGATGGCCGAAAACGAATCGTGAAAATCGGTACTCAAAAATCAACGTCTCAAAGTATTACATGCGCTTACTCTTTGTATATTTTGTGGGTGAGAGATGTATTATTATTATTATTATTTGAATTTATGTAATTCCAGTCACGACCCTGCGGCCTCCGACGTCACGCAGAGTTGTGCTGGATAAAATCCAGTGACTACTCCTCACAGCCTGTGAGGTGAGTAATCACTGGGACCAAGTACCGTGTGCCCTGAGTAGACGCAATGATCCCAGTATGACGGCCTTCTGCATTCCACCAGCCAGGATGTGTGCCTTATCACGGCACGCTGGGATTTTCTGGATCTCCGAGAGCAGCGTGTGTCGTGTGCCTCCTAGGGAGCCGATAATCAGGATGACCAATTCCACAGAATGGTCTGGATAGAGCCGGCGGAGTTCGAAGAGGAGATCTCGATATTTAGTCCGTTTTTCCTCCTCCTTCAAAACGATGTTCGGTTCGGCTGGCGCCAAAAACTCGATCACGAACATCGCTTTGGTTTGATGGTCGAGGAGGACTACATCAGGCTTGTTAGCTTGAATTTGCCTGAGGGTGGGGAATGAGAAGTTCCAATAAATTCGGCACCTCTCATTCTCCACAACGGACTCAATATCTCCCGGAGCATAGGGCAGCACTGGGGTCTCGTCTATTCCGTACGAGTGCCTCAAATAGTAGTAGAGCACTCGCAATGCCGCATTGTGTCTATGGATATAGGCCGAGACTGCATACACCGTGCAAGAAGACAGCAGGTGCATAATTGTCTCGGGCGCCCTGCGGCAGGCCCTGCAACTTGTGTCAGGGACCTCCATACCCATGACACGGCTACGGTAGACGAGAGTGTTGAAAACCCCATCCTGGCATGCCATGATGAACCCCTCTGTTTCCGATTTGAGCCCGCCTGACTTCAGAAAAGCAAAAGTCAGTTCTTTGGATAAGCCCCGGTCTTCAATGGTCTTGAAGTAGACCGAATGCATGGGCTTATCCATGTGAAGCTGCAGGAGCTTTCTCACTTCTGCAGCTTTGATGCGGGCCTTCCTCCGAGCAGGCTCTAGCTCAGTGACTGAGTCCTGAGCCTCGCGCTCGGAGTCGAAAATCAGAGACAATTCATCGGCTGCTCGACGTGCTGCCCTGAAAAGAAAAGCTCCTACCCCTGCCTCTTCATGGGTTTTAACCATTTGCAGAAGGGGATCCGAACTCCTGATGACTTTGCAGGCGCCATCCAGAACCATTCTGTTATGGAGATACTCCAAGCTCAAGAGTCCACGGCCACCCTGGTCTCTAGGTATGTATAACCGTGGAACGGACGAATTTGGATGCAGACTCCTATGGAGATGCATCATCTTGCGAGTACTTACGTCAAGTTGTCGCAGCTCGACTTGAGTCCACTTTATCACTCCAAATGAGTAAAGTAGGATCGGAACAGCAAGCATGTTAGTCGCAGCGACTTTGTTCTTACCCGACAGTTCTGACGACCAGATCTGTCGGAGCCGCTGCCGATACTTGCTGCGGAGAGCGTCTTTTACCCGTTGTGCCTCCTGGATGTGAGTTTCCTCTACACCCAGGTAGGTGTACGTCTCTCCGGCACCCAGGTGGTGTAGGATGCTTCCGTCCACGAGCTGCGCGTCCTTGTCGTAGTTCTCGCATCGTCCTCTCTTGAGATGAACTAGTGCACATTTGTCCATTCCGAATTCCATTTCAATTGCCTGCGTGTACTCCTGTACCACCCTGAGGGATTGGTCCATATCCCTCTCACCAGAGGCATAAAGTATGAGGTCATCCACATAGAATAAGTAAGTGACTTTATGCCTCCGGTAACTGGGTGGGCCGCAGTTGTATCCTCTGGTTTTGCGGAGCTCAACGGATAGTGGCAGAAGTGAGATGCAGAATAGGAGTGGGCTAAGGGAGTCCCCTTGAAATACTCCTCTCCTTATGATGACTGGCTCTGTCTGAACTCTCGCATTACCTGATGTTATAGTAAAGCGGGTCTTTCAGACCAGCATCAGTTGTTCTATGCATCTCACTATAGAATCGGGTACCGAGAGACACTTGAGCAAGTACACGAGTAACTCATGTGACGTTGTGTCAAATGCCTTTCGGTAATCGATCCAGGCCACAGAAAGATTCCGCTTGTACTGCACGGAGTCCTGTGTGATAGATCTATCTATCAACAGGTTCTCCTTGCAGCCAGCGACACCTCTCTTTGACCCACGCTGCTCAAAAATCCGCTGGTAAACCGGGTCAACTACTAGGAGTACTCGCATGTACAAGATGCGCGTGAACAACTTGTAACATGCATTCAGACAGGTAATTGGTCGGTAATTCTTTGGATTGGACAAATCTCCAGTCTTAGGGAGAAGCACGGTTCGCCCCTCGATAAACCACTCAGGGATTATTGGTATTATTATTATTATTATTATTATTATCATAATTATTATTATTATTAGATATCTCCAGAGGTACTGTGTGTTTTTGTGTCTGAAGATGACTGTTCGAGCCAAAACTAGTGTAATATAATAATTCTAGTGGTCGTCCAACTAGGTGTTATTCTGTTCTTTCTTTGAACAAATTTGAATCACTTCGAGGAGGATGAAAGGTTTTTTCATGACTTGTTCTCCATTACATATATTGGTGTGAATGTTTACTCATCATATAGGATTACATTTTCTCACCCTCGATATCTCTCTTTCAGTGAATAATATGAGAAATCAAGAAAACATGTCGAAATTTTTATTTCCTCTTGGTCCAACTCCCTAGGAAGGGTAGATGTTACCCTCAGAATCTCAAATAGTAAGGGTTAATAATGAGTGTCACATCATTTTTAAGGGCGCTTGATTGTCTTTGCAACGGTTCTCTAGTTTCTCATTTTTTGTTGGTTGTTTCCGAAAAATGCATTGTCGATTACAACAGTTCTCACCCTCCATATCTTTTTTCCAGTTAATAATATGGAACATCTAAAAGATTTATTTTCAAGGAAGACGCTTTGAATGCATGAATGTATTCCTCTAGGTTCGACTCCCTAAGATGGGTAGATAATACCCTGAGAGGGTCCAGATTCAAATTCTTATCTCAACAAAATACTAGTTCTCTATTTTTTGATCAGCAGTTTCCAGAAAATGTCGTTCTGAACTCACAGAAGTAATCAGAACATGCCTGCACTGGGATATACTCAATACCATCCTTCTATTTTGACTGAAAGGATAGTCAATACAATAATACTAACCTGAAAGTAATGCATACCAGTGCAGGGATGTTTCAATCACCTCTGTGAATTCAGAACGGTATTTTTCGGAAACAGCTGATCAAAAAATGGAAAAATAGAGTTCTGTTGAAAAAAGACGCCCTTCAAAACAATGAACATCTGGAACCCTCTTCTCGTATGAGGTTTTGAGGGTAACCTCTACTCCCTCCTAGGAAATTGAACTGAGAGGGCTTAAAATATGCATTTTAAGTGTCTTCCTTGAAAATGAAATTGACAGGTCTGAAAAACGGTGACATTTTTTAAACTGCCCACCCTCAATATCTCCCTTCCAGTGAATAATATGAGACATCGAGAAAACATGCCGATTTTATTCGCAAAGGACACACTTGAAATTATGAGTTCTTTTCTATAGGTCCAACCCTTACCCTTAATATCTTCCTTTCATTGGATAATACGGAACATCGAAAAGAAGGGTCAACTCCCTTAGATGTTACCCTGAGAACTTGATATCTAAAGGGGGCCAGATGCATGATATTTCAAAAAGCGTTCAATTTTCATTTCGAAAGTACCCCATTCTTATCATGTTTCAATAAGCAGTTTTCGGAAAATACCGTTCTGAACTTACAGAAGTAATAAGAACATGCCTGCACTCATGCATTCAAAATCTTTCCACTATTTTGACAAAAAAGAGAGTAAATTAAATAATACTAACCTGAAAATAATGCATCTCAGTGCAGGCATGTTCTAATCACTTCTGTGAGTTCGGAACGGCATTTTTCGAAAACTGCAGATCGAAACATGGAAAACTATAGGGTGTCGTTGGAAAGACACGCCCTCCAGAACATTGTGAATCTGGACCCCCTTCTTTATCGTATGAGGTTCTGAGGGTGACATCTACCCTTCCTAGGGAATTGAACTGAGAGGGCTGAAAATATGCATTTTCAGTGTCTTCCTTGGAAATGGAATTGCAGGAAGGAAGATATTGAGGGTGGTTGAAAATATGTATTTTTATGAGTGGAGCGTGAACCTCGATGTTCTAAGGGTTGTGACATAGCATACCCATGTCAGATCACTATTTTGATACATTTTCCAGTAACACATTTGCTGATATGAATTTTATTGATTTATAGGCCAGAAGCTATCGCCGGTCAGTAAGATGGACGAGAACACCACCGACAACTCGTCCGACTTCGACTGCGACAACTTCCTAGAACCCGACCACCTGCTGGCCAACACCTACTTCCACATCCTCATCTACTTCATGTACACAGCCATCTTCTTCATCGCCTTCTTGGGCAACAGCTTCGTGTGCTACGTGGTCCTGTCCTCCCCGAGAATGCGCACAGTCACCAACTACTTCATCACCAACCTAGCTGTGGGCGACATGCTCATCACCGTCTTGTGCGTGCCCTTCACTCCCATGCCCTTGCTGAAACAGTACTGGCCCTTCGGTAGCGTGCTTTGTCTCGTGGTGAACTACTCACAGGCGCTATCGGTTTTTGTGAGCGCTTATACATTGGTGGCTATCAGCATAGACAAGTATATCGTGATAATGTGGCCGTTGAAACCGAGGATATCGAAGAGATTTGCCACTAGTGTGATATTTTTGGTGTGGTTAGTGGCTGGAACGACTGTTATTCCCACTGGGATGTTCGCGAAGACTTTTCAGCCGGTCAATGATACCTATTATGCTTATTGCGACAGGTGAGAGGATATCTGTTTTCTAAATTTGGTAGGTAACAGAAAATTACTCGTTACAAGAAGCATACCGAAGGTTAACTGAATGATCTCTCGTTCAACAATCTGATTGTACGACGGCTTTGAACTAGCATTCCAGAACAACTTCATTCTTCATGAAAATATTTCTAATCAGTGTAAATTCACAGTTGCAACTAAGAATTTGGCAGATAAAACTCATTAGTTTTTATATATTCCAATTCAAACTAATTCACAGTGGCAAGCAAGCTCAAATCGACTTGCATCAGCTGAAGAGTAGTGTAGACTAGAGATCTAGGCTAAAACACTAGTTATCCTAGTTTTTCAGTGTATCGATGACTGATTCTTGCGAATCCTTGAATCAGAACTGAATACAGTTCGACAAATCAATGCTTCATCAATTTGAAATACAGTTTTCCTTGATTGCACAAAATATCTTATACAATCATAAAAAATCACATAGAATGACTGGAAAATTGGAGTGAATTGGTATCTTCTCATCCCGAATCGAACAAATGTTTTTTTTAAAGTATTCCAATATCTCTCTTCCAGAATAACTCAAGAATGATCTTGTTTTCATGAGATCCAAAGTTCATGAAAGACATAATATTCACATGATTGGAACTTTAAAGTTGCTCTGAAATGATATTCAATTGCAAGATTATAATATGTTGCTTATCACCGTCTTCTTTATGCCATTCACTCCCATGTCCTTGTTGAAACAGTATATCGTGATAATGTGGCCGTTGAGACCGAGGATATCGAGAAGATTCGCCACTAGTGTGATATTTTCAGTGTAGTTAGTTGCTGTAAAGACTGTTATTCCCACTGGGATGTTCGCGAAGACTTTTCAGCCGGCCAATGATACTTATTATGCGTATTGCGACAGGTGAGAGGTATCTGTTCTCTCAATTAGGTGGGTAGCGAACAATGACCTAATGAAGGAAGCTACGGATTGTATACCGAAGGTTCACTGAATTATTTTTCGCTCAACAATCTAATCGTACGACGGTTTCGAACTGCCATCCTATAACGAATTCATTTTTCACGATCTCCTTGGTGTAAATTCACAGACGCATTATTCATGGATAAGGCAGATGAAACACCCTATTCTCAATATATCTCAATTCACAGTTGCAGCATGACAAGTACATATTTTTCTTGGCACATCTCCCACTTGATGGTTGCAACTGCTGTGAATCAGCACCAATATGACTAGGGATTAGGCAGATGAATTATCAGCTTGATCAATCGAACTCAGGATATTTATCAAGCCTGAATAGACTCGCATCAGCTGGAGATCAGTTGATACTGAAGATCTATGCTAGAAATTCTCAAATCGGAACTGAATACGGTTCAACAAAACAACTGTTCATCGAATTGGAATACAGTTTCCTTGATTGCAAGAAATTCCATTCAATCATCAAGGAATCACAATAGATCACTGAGAAATTTGAGTGAAGTGGTATCTTGTCGAATCAAATAGATGATTCGTTTGAACCATTCCAATATCTTTTTCAAAACAATTCATAAATGTGCTTGATTGCATGAGATCCAAAGTTCATGGAGGACATACTCACTTGATAAAAACTTCGAAATGGCTCTGAAATGAGATTTGATTCCACCAACAGCAAGATCATATGTTCCTGATAAGCGTCTTTTGCGTGAAAATCACTCCCATGCCCTTGCTGAAACATTACTGGCCCCAATTGGTTTTTGTGAGCGCTTATGTTGATTGCTATCAGCATAGACAAGTAAATTGTTATAATGTTGCCATTGAAACCAAGGATATCGAAAAGATTTGCCACTAGTGTGATATTAATAGTGTGGTTAGTGACTGGAACGACTGTTATTCCCACTGGGATGTTCGCGAAGACATTTCAGCTGGTCAATGATACTTATTATGCTTCTTGCGACAGGTGAGAGGTTAACTGTTTGCTAAATTCGAAATGTTATGAATCGTTGGAAGGTTTACTGATAGCCCAGTCACCTTAGGAAGAATAGCAGCAATCGGAGCCAAATTTTTGAGAATTGGTGTACGTGTTCCTTTAAGCATTACATCTTACCAAAAAAAAGTCACCACCCGTACCTGTAGAGCTTTCGCCGCCATCTTAGGAAATAGGTGCAATATTTCAGTTTTTCACGTATATCTCGGTAACTGTCAACTTTATCGCGATAAAGGTGGTGAGGTAATAGGAAGCTAACAAAATTTCTCGTAAAAAAGTATCTATCAATTATTTTCGAAATATCCACGGTTTTGGACTTATGTCGTCACAACGATTTGGCAAAATATGAAATTCTACTGCAAACCGACTGGACAAACTATAATTCAGTTATATACACTCCTGGTGACCTGCAAAAAAGCATTTATAGCTATAATCGTTCAATTCAAGTCCAGACTGGCTGAAATCATAATTACGTTTTATCCTATCAGTATTCGCGGGACCAAGGGAAATAAGGTAGGGATTGGTGTTCTTCTGAAATTTCTGGAGAATGAAGCATGTCATCTTGGGTTCGTCCGTATTCATTACTTATAAGGGATGGAACGGGAAAAAACGATGCCGTGCATCCTTCCTTGCAATTGCAAGAAATTATCTGGAGCAAAAAATTTGGAGAAGCAGGTAGGATAGTTGGCACAGGTACCAGACCAACAGCACTCCTCTTCCACCCCCCAGAGCACAGGACATTTTTGATTATCTAACCACTTTTGTACCTGGTGATTGACTCTGAAGGAGTGCTACCTCAAAGCTGCTTCCGTCGGTGGTAGAAAAGCCATATCTACTTTCTTGTTGGTAGCAGATTTTGCAAACATATTGTACCGGAGCTTGTTCAATGATGTTTCCGTTGTATGGGCACCATACAGAGCTAGAACGAATCGTTCACCTGCTGCAGATACTTCTTCACTCGTAGCTTCCGGGTTGTTGAAAGTCTTCGCAACTTCTCGTAATGACGGCTGGTCCTTCATGAGTTTGAAGCATTTCGACTTTCCTTTTCTGAAGAAACATTTCGACTTTCCTTTTCTGAAGAAACATGATGTGGTATCACAACATCCAAAGGCATGTAAGAAAGGGATAGTGCTCTGTAATTTAGTACTGGTTTGTAGTTCGCGAGAACAGTACCTTTTTGCCTCTACAGTGCCTCTTTTAGGTTTGACAAAATAAATGTTGCGTTGTGCTGGAGCCAAAGCTATGGGTAGAATAAGTAGATCTACTTATTCTCCAACAACGGTGACTTGGATAGAGGAAGACATTTCAATAGATGTCTGTATTATTAGCGAATCCGCATAGTCCACTGCTTGCTTTGTGCCTTGAACCCTTCGGTTTTTGTATCTGTATGAAGTTCAGCTATTTTTGCATGAATGGTGAAAGCAATAATTTTATTTCAATATTCATTCAAGATGTTTCAGAAATATTTCAAATCTGATTCAATTGAGGTTATGTAGGGGCTACAATTCATTTATTTCAACATCAAACTCTTGATCTTCGAGCTACTATAGGTTACAGGACGGCTCACTTGAGAAATCCTGAATATGTGGCAACACTGGTATTCTGTAATGGCCGATCGCTGTTGCGAGGATACTCGAATGTGGCGCCGACTCTCTGACAGTTACTTGTAGATGGAATATATCTATATCAGAATAATTGTGAGTAAGTTTCTCAAATATCGCATATTGTTCAACGATTTACTGATGAACCATGCACTAAACGAATATTTATGTGGGGACCTTTTATTTTTATAAATTCGATTACCTTCATTTTACCTAAGCATATTGATCTCGATAAAGTCAACAGATATTGAGATATAACCGAATAACTGAAAAAGTGCACACATTTTTCAAGATGGCGGAGTTAGCTCTACAGGTACAGCTGGTGACTTTTTTTGGTTGAAAGTCATGTCAAAGGGAACATGTACACCAATTTTTAAAACTTTGGGTTCGATTTCCGCTATTCGTCAAATTTGATACTAAGGTGATTGGGCTATGAATGATAATTCATCACAATATGATTGTACAGGGTGAGCAAAACTCGATGTCTCAGCTCTATTATAAGAGGAGGAGAGATGATAGGGGAAATCTGAAAAAAGTTTTCTCAATTGGATTGTGTAAAGTCCGTTTTGGGCCTGATTCGCATATTTTTCTGAATTCGTAAGCTGAAGTAATGACGTCATCAATCATTTCTTTTCCAGAAACATACCTATATTTTTGCATATTTTTGCATATTCGGAAAGACCTGATTTCACTGAACAATTTTCGTAATTAAAAAAATTTGCTATCTCCTTCTCTTGAAAAATTATAAGCAAATTTGTTCAAAAAAAGTATCATCAAAAAATTGCATTCGTCACGATTCAAACAAGTAGCCTTCGAAAACAAATGGCAAAGTAGCATCTGTCAACAATTAAACTAATGGTTGTCACATTTTGGTGTCATTTGACACATTTTCAAGCGTCACATTTTGGTGAGTATGGGCTAAAACAGAACCAGACAAGCAAATGCTATTCTTCAATAGAAAAAATTGCACTTGGTTTGATTCAATACCTGTTACCATTCTCGAGAAATTAATTCGAAAACTTCCGTTCCAACATTTTGAAAACTAAAAAGTGTGGACGAAATGGGAAACACATAATATATTACCAAAGGAAGAAACAGAGTATGCTGGTAATCACTACAACAAATTCTCAATGTAACCACCTCCTACTTCTAGACACTTCTCCAATCTCCGCCTCACTTCTCTTACTGAAGCCTTGCGTAACATTTCTCTAGAGAGTTCATCGCAAGCATTCCTAACTTTTTCTCTCAGATGATCCAAGTTAACAGAAGGTGTTCTGTAAACTTTATTCTCCAAAGTTCCCCACAAGAAAAAATCTAGTGGGGTCAAGTCCGGTGATTTTGGCGCCCACTTTATCGGACCATTTATACCTATCCAATGTTCTCCATACGTTTCATTCAAATATTGTTGAACAATTCTTGCTTTATGCGGCGGAGCTCCGTCATGCTGGAAACACATGTTTGCTAGAAGATGTAATGGCACATTTTCGAGGAGCACAAGAAGATGTTCTTGAAGAAATTGCAAAAATTGCTCACTATTTAAAACTCCTTCGTAAAAATATGGACCAATCAAATGCCCGTTGATAATACCACACCAAACGTTAATTCCAAAATGTCCCTGGTTTTCAATAGGATTGACAAAATGTGGATTTTCAGTAGCCCAATAATGTTCATTTCTTCTATTGGGCCTACCGTTGCTAACAAAACGGCTATCGTCCGTCCACAACACATGCTGGAGAAACCGATTGTCATTGAACTCTAAGTTTTCCACCACTTGGGCAATATAATTAACCCTCCGTTGTTGATGTTGATTCGACAAGTGTTCTAAGTTATGGAGTTCATAATCGTGATATCCATTTTCTTTCAAAATATTTCGTACCGAACTATATTTCAAATTCAACTCACGACAGGCTTGACGAATCGAGTTCCTTGGATGGTGTTCAAAATACTCCGAAACAGTGGCAACAGTATTGTTAGTCTTGACCCTTTTGACAATTTTCTTTCCCTTTCGAGATGACAATGCCTCGTTGTTCGCACGTAAATTACGTTCCAATATTGCGAATATTTTTGAGTCTGGAATAATACGTTCGGGGTATCTCTGGGCGTATAACTGCACTGCACGTCTAGAATTCTTTTGACTTTCCCCATAAACAAAAAAACATGTCGAATTTTTCATTGTGCGTAAACGTTTTTCAGCCAGATGACACCACAATAATATTTGACAACCATTAGTTTGATTGTTGACAGTTGCTACTTTGCCATTTGTTTTCAAAGGCTATTTGTTTGAATCGTGACGAATGCAATTTTTTGATGATACTTTTTTTGAACAAATGTGCTTATATTTTTTTAAGGGAAGGAGATAGCAAATTTTTTTTTTCAACGAAATTTGTTCAGTATAATCAGCTCTGTCCGAATATGCAAGAATATAGGTATGTTTCTAGGAAAAAATGATCGATGACGTCATTACTCCAGCTTACGAATTCAGAAAAATATGCTAATTAGGCTCAGAACGAACTTTACACAATCCTATTGAGAAACCTTTTTTCGGATTTCCCCTATCATCTCTCCTTCTCTTATAATAGAGCTGAGACATCGAGTTTTGCTCACCCTGTACAAAGGCTTTGAACTGTCATTAAAAAAAAACTTCATTTTGCACGAATATTTTTCTGATTGGTGTGGATTCACAGTTGCAACTATGAATTAGACATCAGATAAAACTCCTCGAAGGCAGGCAGATATATACTTTTACTGCACATCTCCCAATTAACAGTTGTAACTGTAAATTAGTACCAATATGGATTGGGGTGAGGCGGACGAATTATCAGCTGAATTAATGAAACTCAGAATGCTTAGCAAACCTTAATATTCTCGCATCACCTGAAGAGTAGTGAAGACTGAAGATTTATGCATAAACAATAGTTATTCTAGTTTTCCAATTTATCGATGAGTAATATATCCTTTAAGATTCTCAATTCAGAACTGAAGACGGTTCAATAAAATAATTATTCATGAAATTGAAATACAGTTTTCATTGATTGCAAGAAATATTACATTTCATCATCGAGAAATTACAATAAATCACTGAAAAATTTGAGGGAAGTGGTATCTTGTCATTTAGAATTGAAAAAATGATTAGTTCGAACCATTTCGATGTCTCTTTCCAAGAACTATTCATGAATGTGCTTGATTGCATAAGATCCAGATGGAAGACAAATTCACTTGATTGAAACTTCAAAGTCGCTCTAAAATGGGATTGGATCGCATCAATTGTAAAATTAAATTTTGCTGATCACCGTCTTTTGCATGCCCTTTACTCCCATGCCCTTGCTAAAACCATAGATCTAAATTTAGATCTATGCCAAAACAGTACTGGCCCTTAGATAGCGTGCTCTGCCCCGTGGTGAACTATTCGCAGGCGCTGTCAGTTTTTGTAAGCGTTTATACGTTGGTTGCTATCAGCATAGACAATTACTGTCGCAGACTGACCTCTGCGAGGTGTCACAACGTGGTCACAACCCCGTATATGATGAGATTCGGGGACGTCAAGTGTGACTGATCCGATTCCGATTGAATAAAAGTCGTGTTTGAGAGTTATCATTTTAGTGTTTCAATCATCACGTAGTAATATTGTCGTTCAAATATAAATGTATCTCAGAACGGTCAGAACAGACCACCGCCGGCATGATCGTTCCTGCAACGGCGGCTCAGCTCCCAACGCCCATCGCCATTCAAGGGGTTTCCAGCTCCATTAAATATGGAGCTTGATTTGGAAGAGCCTTTTCGACAACAGTACATTGTTATTATGTGGCTAGTGAAAACGAGAGAATTGCCACTAGTTTAAGATTTTTAGTGTGGTAAGTTGCTGGAATGACTGTTATTCTCACTGGGATGTTCGCGAAGACTTCTCAGCCCGCCAATGATACTCATTATTTATTCATTTATTTCTTAGAAACAAACAGGTAGTAATACCTACATGTTCTTTTCGAAACTAGCCTATGTTATCATTACAAATGGAAAAATACGTATCCCAATACCATGTTTTTGAATAATCGGTGAACTCAATGTTATAGATACTCCCACTACAGACCATAGATTGTAGCATGCAAATTTGGACTCAACGACTCACAGTTTTTCAGCCAAAGATGTGAGAAATAAGTTATTTTCCACTTGTGAAGAAAATATTTTTTAAAAAATTTCTGTCTTATCGATTTGTTTGGACAGCACCATGTTCACATTTCACAATTTTACATTCACTGACGGCACCTTATTATTGATACAACAACTTGAAGCATTTCACAGCACGTGCTAACGTATGAGTATCAATACGTCTATCTATTATAGCTATAGAAAAATTATGGTTATTGCGACAGGTGAGAGGTTATATTTTGTTTTCGAAACTTGGTGGGTAGAGGACAATGATTTGTTAAGGGAAGCAACGGATTGAATACCAAAGGTTTCCTGCATTATCTTCCGTTCAACAATCTGATTGTACTATATACCATCCTATAACAACTTCATTTTTCACGAATATATTTCTAATTAGCGTAGATTTACAGTTCCAACTATGAATTAGGCAGATGAAACATCTTATTTTTTTATATATCTCAATTCACATTTGCAGGCAAACAGATACACCGTTTTTGTGCCTATCTCTCAATCAAAAGTTGCAACTGTGAATTGGCACTCATATGGATAGGGATCTGGTGGATTATCAGCTTTATTGATCAAACTCAGGCTTCACTCTATTTTGAATGAAGGAAAATGGCTGGTCACGTGATCCATCAATGAACAAGTACACATGAATTGTAATTTGTACCTTTTCATGTACTTAGGTCGAAGGGGGACAGGACGGGAAACGTATTAGATATTTGTTTCTCACTACAATACCTGTACCATCCTGAAGTAAGTATAGTGTAGTCTTGAAGAAAGTATACTTTATTACTCGAGTTGTAAAGCAATAAGGCACTAGTGGAGTTACACACTCGCCGCTACGCGGCATCGTGTGCGGATCTCTCCACTCCGTATAGTTTATGCAAAGTCAGTTGAACAGATTATCAAACGGATGTCGGGCCGCACTCTTTGAACTTCCAAAGAAATCGACAGCTTGCGGTGATATGTTTTTCCAACTGACTTTGCATAAACGATACGTAATATGAGTTTTATATACAACTCTCGCTATTTAATATACTAAGTAGTATATACTCATGACCAGTGTATAAAATCGGCAAGAACACACGATACACAACCCCAGTGAGTTGCCTCAATCTTCAACAAATGAAACTGTATTGAATTGACTCGGCCGTTGCTTGATGAAAATCCATGGCAAATGTACAAACTCCACAAACTATAAGATTTCCAAATAATTCTCATTCACACGACATGTATCGCTAACACAGGAGCTTCATCAGGTGGAATACTGGAACAATGAACTGAACTAACCTTGGCTTGCCTGATTTTTATATACTCTACTTTCCCAATCTGGAGGATAAGAATTACCAGTGGACAGGTTTCATCAACTTTCATTTTCAGGGAATAGGTACAATGTCTACATTGAGATACGGAGTATCGAATTAACTTGAAAAAAGTAAATAGTAAATACATATTTTTACATGAGGAAACAAAATTCAATGGTGGTGAACTCTTGATATCTAGTTGATCGGTAATTTATGAGTTTTTTGATTTGTAATCACTATATGTTTCTTCCTGATATATGATTGACGTATGTGGGGATTGTTTCCTCTTTAAAGAAATTCATCCTGTTCATGAATGCACTGATTAAACGTGAGACCTGTCTCACCGATATACAGTCTGTCCAAGATAAGGTTGAACAGCATGGGTATCTCGGAAACGGTAAGAGATACGAAGTCGTTAAAATGAGGAAAAAGTTGCGCATTCAGAGGCTCATATCAAGAGCCTCCAAAAATTTTCAAAATTATTCATAGTTTTTGAGTTATATCGAAAAAAGTGAATTTTTGGAATATCTATTTTATTTTTTGTCTCCGTTATTATCAGAGATACAGCAAAACTGGGAATACTGTTACGTAACAACTTTTGATGACGTTGAACTTGGTGAAACTGATTTTTTTATGCGACGTTTCGTATTCGTGGAACCATCATCAACTTTTGTTTTTTAAATGCGGTCCTGATAATTTTTTCACAGATTCTGAATTTTTTCTCAATGTGAATTCAACCATGTATTACACAAGGTGGTTTATGTGTGTTTCGATCAATTTTTAGTCATCATCAATGTTTCTTCGAAATCCCAAAGGAAACATGCCATAGTTCTACTCGATTTGAAGGAGAATCAGTCAATACACTAATATTTCATCAACTGGTTTCAATCATCAACCCATTTCATTTTGCGAAAACAAAAATTCCCATACAAATTCAGAATAATTATGTCAAGCGCTAAAACCAGGCGATGACGGAAGGCGCAGGACTTTCTGTGAGTGGTATACCAGGAAATGTCAAAATTCTGCAGATTTTCCTCAACCAATCATCTGGACTGATGAAAAGCATGGTCACTAATTATGGTATCTTCGATAGAAAAAATTCACATTATTGTTCACGAGAAGATGAACATTTATACATAACAGCGAGACACCAACACCGTTTCGGCCTCAATATATGGGTTGCAATATTTGGTACAGGAATTATTATTCCTTCTATTCACCATGAAACACAGACTTCCGAACGTTATAAAAATTTGCTTGAGAATCATCTTGAGGAAGCTCTGGATGATTCACCGATTGCGGAAGTTCAGAACTGTTAGTTTCAACAAGATGGCGTTCCGGTTCCTAATTCCAGAGAAGTCCGTGCGTTTTTATCCAGAAAAATGGATTGGTACTCATTCTACAGTCCCTTGGCCGGCGCGGTCGCCTGATTTGACACAGCTGGATTTTTTCTTAGGGGATATATCAAACTTTGTATACGCAAATAACTTTGATGATGAAGAAGAACTAAGGGACAGTGTCTTCGAAGCATTCAATAGAATAACCCCAGAAATGCTTATCTATGTCTTAGAAGCAACTTTGAGAAGAGGATCTTTGTTCAGAAAATAATGGTTATTATTTTGAACATTTGTTATGAATGTCTCTGTAGATATCGTCAAAGTTAAGTTGTTAAAGTAATTCGTGTAAGAATTCATAAACAATTTTGAGCGAATGATGAATTGAGATATTTTTTATTCACTTTCTAGTATTGAATAACTACTCCATCAAGTTTGACCCTGAATGATCAGAAATGAGTGGAACTGATGGTTTTTTTCCTTTGGTAGTCCGAAAAAACATTCATGATGGATAGAAATAGGTCGAAACACATTCGAATTACCTTGTATAATACATGGTTGAATATAGAATGAAAAAACCTTCCAGAATTTGTGAAAAAATTATCAGTACCGTATATAAAAACAAAAGTTGATGATGGTTTTACGGATACGGAACGTTGCCTAAAAAAATCGGTATCACGACGTTGAACGTCATCGAAAGTATCTTCAGTTTTTCTGTATCTCTGATAATAACGGAGAAAATGCGAATATTATAAATATTCAATTACTTCAGTCGTATATGAGGAATGTCAAATAGTTATATAACCAACTAGTGTATTAATGAGGACGATTAATGATCGAGATATTTTAACGTGCGAGCGAAGCGAGTGCGTTAATGTTCGAGATCATTAATCGCCTTTTAATATACAAGTTGGTTACAAAATTTTTCCGTCGACTTTATTTCTCATTTCTCCTGCAATGAAGAAAACTTGGTTCGCCAAATCATCATCCATCCGGAAACTGCTAAGAACAGGGCCTACTCTATCTCACCGGGCCGTAGTCTATCCCCTCTCTCTCGACGCTGACGTCACACTAGTAGGTTGAGATTTCACATCAGTCCGTACTGGTGCGTTCGTAATTGATAGGCTATAGCTCATTTACTATAAATTTTAGGAGCACACTCAATCGAGACGAAATGATCCTCAACAAATTCCTCAACTTTTGGTGAAAAAATGAATCCAATAGGATGAAGCAATACCGAGTTATGGCGTTGTAACGAAATTCCATTTTATTGAAAATCAGGACGTTGTATTACAGAATACTATTTTTTTCAAATTTGGAATTGGAATAAGATGAAACTAACCCAATATATCAAACTACGATAACGGATCAATTGAATAGTGAGAAAATTGTAGAGTTACCTATAATGAGTCCGAAAGTAATTTAATATATAGAGCGCGTTAAAAATGGGCCATTATACATACCTACCCAAATTTCGCTGTATTACGATTTCGCGGTAATTCCTTGGACTGGTAAAGGGTGATATACTTTTGATTACTCATTTTATTTCTAAATGGCGTATGGTTCAGACCAACTAATATTGGTGTCTGAAAAATTCGAAACAATATTTTTACAATGTAAGTCACAACATAAAGTTTTGGAGA